GTGATTTCTTAGCATCCGGCGGGCCGTATTACCGACAAATGGAATAAAAAAGGGAAATTTCAAAGCGACCCAAAGACTTCGAAATATTTTTACAAGTCGTTCAATAACAATGGATTTACACGAAATATATTATATGCTTTACTACAGATTGCCATGGTTGTCACGTGCTCTTGTTCCTATGGGCTCTTGGTAAGTTTCCCTTTAGCCCGTCCGCTCATTTATGGTACTGTCAATAGCAAATCGTCGTTGTCAAACCAAAATCAGCTATGTGCTGCTTTTTGAGATTTTTACTTTTTGACCTTTTCGTATAGTTCACAGCCCTATCTACTGTATAAAAAAAACCGTTATCTGTCTATAGCTTTAACATTTATCTATAGCTTTCATTTGATATAGTTCTTAAAAATTCACATTCATATAAAACTTAATACGAAAATGTTTTTTTTACTCGTTATTTCAAAATAGAGTTTTTGCACATAGCAGATTTTGGTTTGACAGCGACGAAGCATTTTTTTGTTATTTTTTTTATTGCTTAGATGTGTGGACGAGCGCACAGCCCACCTGGTGTTAAGAGGTTACTGGAGCCCATAGACATCCACAACGTAAATGCACCATCCACCTTGAGATATAAGTTCTAAGGTCTCAGTATAGTTACAACGGCTGCCCCACCCTTCAAACCGAAACGCATTACTGCTTCACGGCAGAAATAGACAGGGCGGTGGTACCCACCCGCGCGGACTCACAAAAGGTCCTACCACCAGTAAACTCACAAGAGGTCCTACCACCAGTAAAAATAGAAGAATTAAATAATTAATAGAAAATCTTCTATTTTATCAATATGAAATATGTTATACCGGATATTCTTTGCGGGCCAGATTTTACGAGAATACGTTTTCACGTCGAACTTATGATTATTCAGAAATGCGTTCTAAGCTACTTTCCAAGGCCTCGTATGCTGGCTCTCTCTACAGCTACGCTATTAATCTACTTTAACTTTTACTTGTATAACTTGGCGAAAAATCGAATTTCTTCAGCCGAATTTTGGATCTTTTTTTTATTTATTGCTTAGATGTTTGGACGAGCTCACAGCCCACCTGGTGTTAAGTGGTTACTGGAGCCCATAGACATCCACAACGTAAATGCGCCACCCACCTTGAGATACAAGTTCTAAGGTCTCAAGTATAGTTAGTTCAAGTATCGTTGTGAAATATCCAACTGAACGTTACAGACAGAACGTTCTAAAAAATTTGTTATAAAATTTTTAACTAAGTGAAATTTCACACCTAGTCACTATATTCGTGTAATTTGAATGAATGCTGAACCCTTGCTGGCCAAGCTTTAGTGGCTTCGTTTCGTATTATTTATTCCTCTATTTGAATTTAATTTTCTCAACAATGTCTCATGGGTTAATTTTTTGTTTAGCGCGCTGGAATAATACTAAATTGCTGCGAAATAAACAGATAAGTTAAATGATAATAGTTTTTTTTTGTTAAAAGTACAGCATATGTTTCTTAGGCGCTTATTAGTATAGTAGTAAGTAAAACTACGATATGTTTACATTAAAAACAGACGCTACAGTTATTTATATATTTGTGTAGATAAAAGCTTTTAAACAGATAATTAGATAACAGATTTTAACATGCATCACAACCGATGATTATATATGTTTTTTTTTCTTTATATTCTGTGTATATTGTTCTTTATATTTAGTGTATTAAATGCATCAGAAACAACACATTGGCAGAAACAGAACATCATTCATATCATTATAATTTTATCGGAACATTATTTAATTTTCACCCCACAAATGACGTCATACAGTAAATTCGCAGTCAGACAAGTTTTGTTAAATTTAAAAACCTTTATTTTTATTATTACTTTTTTTTCCTAACTACGCTGTTAGTCTTGAGAGTATATTTCAGCGTTACCCTAGCATGTAAGTGAGCTCTCGGGGCTCAAACCGGAGGCGTTGCTAACACTGACCCCAGCAAGAGCAGTGTTTCGCAGAATCTGCCACCAGACGGAAACGCGACCCACTGAGAAGATCTCAGATCACAGATCTTCGAGAAGAAACTCAGTGGGCTGTGTCTATGGGTTAATTTACTTGCCGAGCCCTTCATCGCAAGCGACGGGTTCAACAAGGACGGTGACCGGTGCTTGAGGTACCTAAGAGCACCGTTAATGGATCGGGAGGATCCGTAATGACGTGCTTAGGGCTATTATTACTATTACAGCTGTTTGGCTTCCTAGTCTTCACGTTTTTCTCTTAGATTTTTCCCTACCTATTCTGATAGCCTTGAGAGGCTATATTGCCGTAGCCTAATAAATAGGTGAGCTCAGGGGGCACAAACCAGACGACGTTGCTAACACTAACGAGTACACACACACATTGTTTCAACAAAAATGTGCCTCAATCTGTGGTCACTTCGAAATAAACAAACTTTAGGATCTTTTTTTTGCTAGCGGCACTAAGTTTGCTGGCTTTAGCATATCTATCTATAGTAAAATCATAGATAGGCTGTCTATATATTCAATGAATAAACCAAAGGCCATAAACAAGTATTAATGGAACGTAAAAATGATTTCAAATTTTTTCTTGTGAAACATTTGATGAATAATAACAGGGTATTTTTGTTTAAAATCGACTCGCGGATCTGTATAAATGACGTCATCTGTCTGAGATCAGTCTCGGTACTTAAGCCCGATCCCTCCTGGCTGAGCCTTTGTTCGCCCACTTGTCCTACCGGGAAGGTCTTGGGCCTACCAGTAATCCTTCCTTCATAAAGAAAAGACCAGACTTAATAGAAATGTGTAAAAGTTTCCCTACCCTCAAAACTAGAACACATGACTGCTTTATTTATTGCTTAGATGGGTGGACGGACTCACTGGTGTTAAGTGGTTACTGGAACCCATAGACATCTACAACGTAAATGCGCCACCCACCTTGAGATATAAGTTCTAAGGTCTCAAGTATAGTTACAACGGCTGCCCCACCCTTCAAACCGAAACGCTTCACGGCAGAAATAGGCAGGGTGGTGGTACCTACACGCGCAGACTCTCAAGAGGTCAATCTCTCCAGATTCAATTCTACAAACATAACATGCCATGTTTTTATTAATTAAACAAAAATACAATTTGGTGAGTTCGAATTTATTACACAATGTTGTTCGTAAGAGTACCTGGCGGATCATTACCGGGTCAAGCAGAGATGGCCTCACGGATAAACGGCGCACGGTCGATAATTGTCATAATTACTGTTATGTTCAACCTTCAACTTTAGCGTTGTGGATTTAAGTTTACATTCGATTATGGGGTTTTGGGTTCTACGATAATTTATAATTTGACACGTGTTTGAGAATCTGTTTGCGATGTTTTGTTTTGGCTCATTAGTATTGTATGACGTCACGCGTCAGTTAATAACAAGCTCTATATTCGTAAACAGTATTATTTATATTCGAAGTGGGATCTATGTAATAAATAGTGTTTTCTTTTCTTTTCTTTTCCAAGTTTACAAAGTTAGAAACTAACTTTTCTTAAGTGTTGGATGCGGAAGGCGGAGGATCGCATTATGTGAAAGGCATTGGGGAAGGCCTATGTCCAGCCGTGGGCAGATAAAGGCTGATGATTATGACGATGTGTACAACACATATTACGAACGAACAAACATGTGTTTTTTAATATGAACTTCAGAAATAAACACGTTCTATTTAAATTTTTAAATGAGATTCTTAATTTACATTGTATTTGAAACGATGCGAATTTATTATAACTAGAGGTCCCGCAGTAGTCGAAATTCGACTATAACTAACAGGAATTGTCAGTTTGTACACTATTGTAATTGTATTTTATACTTCTATAATCACAAATTTCGCCAAGACTACACTATAAAAAATATTAATAAAGACAAACAATATTTAATCTATTCTCAATTTGACCACAGACGTCAAGAACAAAAGTTTGACAATAAATAGTATGCATGCGTGTGTGCGTCAAATACATGGTATGTAGTGTGTGTAGTGTTTTCTTTATTGATTTAATGTATCTTCTACGCATTATTTAAAAAAAATATTTCTGTGGAAAATTTCATACTCCTCCGTCCGCGCAATTTTCGTAAAAAGGGATCCAAAGTTTTTGCTTCACGTATTAATATATAGATAGGAGTAACATTATCTTATTATCGTACTTGTTAACTGTTGCCATGGTAACTGGAAATTAGCCCAGACATCACAAAAACATAAAGAGGTCTACTTATGGCGAAGATTACTTTTTAGGGGTCCGTGGGCGATCTGTTAGCTTTTCTAATATTCTCGATCTTGAGATCATACTTTAATATAATTTTCAAGAAACGATCGCAAAAACGGTTAAGTTAGCTTAGAACCAATTAATGTTTGAAATATTAATTTTGAAATGTCAAAGAAGATAGTTCCATTGTAATTATAATGTATACAAATTTAAAATGAAAATTTATTTGCAAGTATCAAGTAGACGAAATAAATTATAATTTCAAATTATCGTCGAGACCTGAAATTTGTTGCAGCTTTGTGTACCGGATTAAGCATAATAAAATAACTTCTTAAGTTTTAATCGAAAACCTCTAAAAGATTTTTGTAAGGTTAGAAACCTCTACTTCACAAACAATCAAAAACAAGACGGAGAAAAAAATAAAATAAAACACCTATGAAATTATCACAGCATAATATGAAAGTTTTGTAAAGTTATTACTTAAGTTCTTTAGGTCTATTGTGACATAAAATTACACATTATGATATCATTCCATCTTTATCAATGCATAACCTCAGTAACGAAAACATGGCAATGAACTTTCATAACTATTTCTTGAATAAGAAAAAAAAAACAGATAAAAATCAAACAAAAAAATCTCGCAACTACGAATCTACGACACAAACTTTTTAATGAACGTGAGAATTAAAATCACGCTGTATAGAAATTACGTAATTAGCTTTAAATAGAATTAAAAAAAGAACAAAAACATGAAGACTCACCGGGTCAACGCGAGTCAAATATCCACTTTATCCGACACTAGAGCACCCTGTAGATTCACATAAGCACTAACGGAACACTCTGTATGCAAAAAAATCGGATTGGACGACGGCTATTGGCCGGTTCGAATTGAACGTTCGAATTTTGAAAATTTACAGTTACACGAGTTCCTTCGGTGGAGGCTTGACGCGTACTGAGTCAGCTTCTCGAATGAGTGGGACACGTCCGTTCACACTGTCAACTTAATTAATTCTTACCAATTTCGGTGTTAACGCTCTCGGTATAAATGTTCATTTTGAATAGCAACGCGTGTCGTTAAGACGTTTGGGAATGCGAGATTAATACATTGCCACCTCGATCGCCTTCACATGCGCACGAGATATAACTTTTTGCAGTCCTAAATCGTTTTAATAGTTGACTTCGTAATAATATCTTGGTTAATCATGTTAATTATTATTTCTTTGCCGAGGCTTCGGTAGAAATAATAAAGAAAATCCGCCAATATTTTATTGATAAAAATAAATAAGTCTTATATTGTATCAACATTTTATTTCTAGACAGGCATACTTTTATGATTCGTATGTGTCTCTGTCATCATTTTCATATTATACAGAAGTATAATGATTGCGCGCGTTGAAGTCTTTGCAATGGATAAGACAGATTGCCAAAAAATAAATTATCACGATAAATCTTTACATGTGAGTTTTGTATTCAGGTAAACGATTTAAGTGGTTTTTGTGTATGTTTTTTTTTGAATTGTCGCTCCCCCCACATCATTTGTGGGAGAATTGATGTTATTGGTGGTGCGGCGACTTGTGATCCCGCACGGATAAATAACCACTACTCTGTTTATTTCTGCCAGCAGTAATGCTTTCAGGTTCGAAGGGTGGAATAGTTACACTATACAATTGAGATTTAGATCTTATGACTCATGGTGGGTGGCGGCAATTTTCAAACAACAATTTAAAAAAAATTACCCCGTTTTGGTTGCATATCTACATATCGGATCGTAGTCCACTTGCTAGGAAAAGAGCATATCCCCATGATAAAAGTAACTACTGAATAACAACAATGCGCTTCGAGCTATCTCTTACACCGGCTGTACACGCTTGTCGAGACTACGAGACAGGTCGAGGATGAGTGTGTACATGGCATCCTTTTTTTTGTTTTTTTCCTACCTATGCTGATAGCCTTGAGAGGCTATATCAGCGTTACCTTAGCGTGTAGGTGAGCTCTCGGAGCTCAAACCGAAGGTGATGCTAACACTGGCCCTAGTAAGAGCAGTACTTTGCAGAATCTACCACAGGATCGGAAACGCGACCCACTGAGAAGATCCGGCGAGAAACTCAGTGGGCTGTGTCTATGGGTTAAGTTACTCGCCGAGCCCTTCGTCGCAAGCGTCGGGTTTGGCGAGGATGGTGGCGGAGTGTTAGCAATACTCTGGTTTGAGCCCCGTGAGCTCACCTACACGTTAGCGTGAAGCTGAAATAGCCTCACAAGGCTATCAGCATACGTAGCAAAAACAAATAGAATGTTCCACAGTTACAAAGGCACATAAAAAATATTGGCATTTAAATTCTGTTTAGTACGAACTCAGTTTAACAATATTTGATTTTGCCTTAACAAGAATTAACACGTAATCAATTTGGTTACTCGTTTGAGGCACATGAAAAGTTAAAAAACTTTCCGTTCTATGAATTGTATGAACGATTCTTAAGAATGATGTCACGAGTTCGGACATCTCTCGAGGTGTGTTCATCAGATGACTTTCGTTCATATTTGTACGTCATACATTGCGTCTTTGTGTTTTTAATACTGATATAAAAGCGTTGCCGATTGCAGCAGCCCTTTTTTTCCTACCTAATTTGATAGCCTTGAGAGGCTATATGAGCGTTACCTTAGCGTGTAGGTCACCTCTAGGGGCTCAAACCGAAGGTGATGCTAACACAGGCCCTAGCAAGAGCAGCGCTTCGTAGAATATACCACCGGATCGGAAACGCGATCCACTGAGAAGATCCGGCGAGAAAATCAGTGGGCTGTGTCGATGGGTTAATAGGTGCTTACAAAGCATAGTAATAACTACCATACTCTATTCCAATTACGATTTTTTTTTATTGCCTAGATCTGTGGACGAGCTTACAGCCCACCTGGTGTTAAGAGGTTACTGGAGCCCATAGACATCTACAACGTAAATGCGCCATACACCTTGAGGCCGTTCTTAACAAATTTTTACGATTGACTTCCACGGTGATGTTCCTTCACATCGTCTAATAAAAATCAAACCCGCAAAATTATAATTTGCGTAATTACTGGTGGTAGGACCTCTTGTGAGTCCGCACGGGTAGGTACCACTACCCTGCCTATTTCTGCTGTGATGCAGTAATGCGTTTCGACTTGAAGGTTGGGGCAGCCGCTGTAACTATACTGAGACCTTAGAACTCATATCTCAAGGTGGGTGGCGGCATTTACGTTTTGCATATCTACGGGCTCCGGTAACTACTTAGCACCAGGTGGGCTGTGAGCTCGTCCACCAATCAGTGCAACAAAAAAAAAAAAATTGACATAGTACATATTTTTAACAAACAATCGTATTGATTGATAATATTGGTCGATTGGTAATAAAATAATAATAAACACAAGACCAGGCACAATTCGATCAATTTCCCAAATACCATTGTGATTAATAGACCGCAATGGACCACGTATTGTTTATTTCAATCGAACACTGACGTTACCCAGTAAACCCTGACCGTTCAACGTTTGGTTAAGCAAATAAAAAAAAACATCCTTAAAGGAGCTCGTTCTGAACTTGTATGGGTAAAGCATCGCGGCGATCCGACCCGGTTTTTCAACGGACAAAGTAATCGAAATCCGAAGACAGGTTGATGAAAATAAATCTTTAAATCGTTCGTGTCTTTTTTTTATTGCCATTATATGGAGAGGAGCATACGGTCCACTTGACGGTGAATGATTACCGTCGACTATGGACATCAGCAATGCCAGGAGTAGAGCCAAGCCGCTGCCTACCGTGAATAGTTATTTAGATATAAGCTACAACGTGGAGTTTTCTAAACGTCAGAAAAAATATATATAAAATGTATAAAAAAAACCTAAGACCAAATCGTAAAAGTGGCTTTATGCCTACGACTTTTGATTTTTTTATTTTTTTTTTTTATTGCTAGATGTGTAGACGAGCCACAGCCCACCTAGTGTTAAGTGGTTACTGGAACCCATAGACATCTATAACGAAATGCGCCACACACCTTGAGATATAAGTTCTTTTTTTTTTTTCCCTGCCTATGCTGATAGCCTTGAGAGGCCATTTCAGCTTCGCCCTAACGTTTGTAGGTGAGCTCGCGGGGCTCAACCGGAGAGTTGCTAATACTGACCCTAGCAAGAGCAGTGCTTCGCAGAATCTACCACCGGTTCGGAAACGCGACCCACTGAGAAGATCCGGCGAGAAACTCAGTGGGCTAGATATAAGTTCTAAGGTCTCAGTATAGTTACAATGGCTGCCCCACCCTTCAAACCGAAACGCATTACTGTTTTACGGCAGAGATAGGCAGGGTGGTGGTACCTACCCGTGTGGACTCACAAGAGGTCCTACCACCAGTAAAAAAGTGATATATACTACTCCGGAAAAACGAAGAAATTACTATGATTTTTTATATTAAAAAACAGGCTGCAATCAAGTTCATTGTTCAGCTGACATTAGCGGTGCTATAAACACAATAATGTAAAATCAATACAAAGGCTGCTGTACCAAAGAAATCAAAATGCTTATTTACAAGTTTTATTACAAGGGGGACGCTCTTGAAAGAGGCCTGCAATTCGCAATGCTGAAGAAGAAGGGAAGAAAGGAGAGACTGAATAAATAATTGTTGCCTGTTTTATACAATAAAGCGACTTCGTTGTGTTATAAATCAAACTAGAGGTCCCGCTGTAGTCGCAAATCGACTATAATTAATTGGAATTGTAAGTTTGTACACTATTATGAATGTATTTTATACAAATTTCACCAAGACTACACTTTAAAAAATATGAATAAAGACAAACAATATTTAATCTATTCTGAATTTGAAAACAGACGCCAAGAACAAAAGTTTGACAATAAATAGTATGCATGCGTGTGTGCGTCAAATACATGGTATGTAGTGTGTGTCATGTTTTCTTTATTGATTTAATGTATCTTTTATGCATTATTTAAAAAAAATATTAGCATTGTGCACTTCTTCTCTATATTCTCTATAAGTGTGGAAAATTTCATACTCCTCCGTCCGCGCAATTTTCGTAAAAAGGGATACGAAGTTTTTGCTTCACGTATTAATATATAGATTAGTAGCATTGTACTGTTTTAACATACTTATGTTAACTTGGTATGTTTGTTTGTAACGGAATCTTTGAACGTCATTAATATGTATGTAACAGATATTATTAGCATTTATTTTATTATATTTATTTATTTATTTATTTATTTCATTTACTTCAGATATTGCATCCATATTACATTCATTAACATTTCATATAGTATACCAGAATGAAATGAAAATAATAACTACAATCTCGGAATAGAACAAAAGCAATAATAATAATAATATAACAAAAAAATTAAAGAATAATAACAAAACAAAACTCAACATTAACGTCAAAACTACCTTAACCTAAAGGCTGGTTTGGATCCAGAGCGCTCAACATGCACACGTGTCCGGTGTTGCATTATTGGGCAGTCCAGATTATTGGCAGTATTATTAGGACATTCGATTTACTTGATAATTTGCACACGCATCAAAAGCCGATGACAGTATAAAATATTATAACTTCGCTCTATTATCTTAATCAGTATGAACAAGATAAAAAAGGAGATTATTTGTGAGTTCGGTTTGTTACTTAAGCGTATTTTTTTAGTTGTTAAGCTACATCTGTTACATATGTAACTACGTAAAACCATTCCGAGTTTAACTTTGATACGATATCGTCGGTTTGAAGAGTAGTATTCGATATCCTACTGACACTGATTTTTAGATTTAATACTGGGTGCCATACATGTTGCGCCTTAAGGAAACTGTGAGCAAATATTTTTAGAATGGCTCTGAGAAAGTTTATTCAACTCATACATTTTTTTGACTATATAAGTACCTAATAAGCATTTACGTTCATTTTATACTACGAATAGGGTATTAGTA